ACCCCATTGCAAAGCGTCGCGCAAAAAACGTCAGTGATAACGGGACGACAAGAACAATACCGCGGGGATACAGACACTTAACGAGTATCGCGCACTGAGAATCCTAGAATTCACCTGCTGTTTTCGGGGGTTGAATAAAAACAAGCGCGCACGGACTTCACTCTTCACTGTCCGATCGTCAACTGCGTCAAAACTCAAGATTGACACTGAGGAGAAGGGACTGTGCCCGATGCGCGGGAAGGGACAGGGTTGAAGGGACAGGGTGCCGGCGGCGAAGAGAGTTCCCCTTTCTCACACCCGTATCGACACTACTTCTCCAAGGTCTCTTGGGTCGGCCGGCCGGGCGATAACCTGCAAGTGTTCAGGGTTTTCGGGAATCGCTCGAGGGTTCTGGAAACTCATGTCGTTCCTGCTGTGATGTGCCCGTTTCCCTCGGCCAGACGCCAGGGTTGTCTGGACTCGACGATGAAATATATGGGACCCCTGAGCAGGCCCGCCACATCTCATCTTGGGCCCAGGTACCAGTTTTCTGGCCCGGGCCCCTAGCACAGAGGGGGGTCCGGGGGGCCTCCCCAGGGAAATTTTTGAAATTTTAAATCTATTTGGACGCATTTTGAAGCTCTTATGATGGAGATTTTCCATCAATTTCTGCAGAATAATTACGCCTTTTTTTTTTACTTTCAGCACCAAATAATTTCAAATTGTTGCATTCAAAACATCTTTAAATTTTTTTTTGAAGGGGCAGATGATATTTATCAATTCTAGGAGGAGCCGGGCCCCCCTAGACTCCCCTTTCGTACGTCTATGGTAAGGGAGTTGAGCCATTGAAGTCGAGGATGCCCAGACAGAAGCCTCTTGGCATCCGACAACGGAAGAAAATGAAACGCAGTTACTAGAAATATCATTCTACATATACTCAAAATCTTGAAAATAGATTGAAATATCTAAAAAAGTAAGAACAATTTTATAGTGCCCTAGCGTGTTTTTGAAACTTTATTCACCTTTTGCGGAATTTTTAGGGTAATTTTTTCACTTTTCCTTACGAGACGAGGGTTACACATGAATTCGTAGTGGTTTGTCACCTGAGTCACGGGCCCCTCCAGGGCCCGGGCCCCGGTACCAGGGACCCAGTATCCCCCCCCTTGTGGTGGGCCTGCCCCTGAGCAATGTGATTTTTGAGATGTCGTGTTCAGACGTGTTTTGTTCGAAACAGCAAAATTTGTCCCTATTTCTTCTTGTGACGTCCCTGTTTCTTTCTTTTCACTCGGTTCCGAACAGCCGATGAGAGCAACTTCCAATCGAGATGTTGCATGTGTGAGGAATTTGCGATTTGCCTGTTGTTCCTTATGTTAAAGTTCGCGAGAAACACGGTGGTGCCACTGGTTTTCTCTGAAGTCAACTCCCAAGCTCAAAAAAAGCTCTCAAAAAGAGGCCAAAATGGAGGGGATATCCCACGCTATCCTGAGAGTCCACCTCTACATCAAGACAAACTCTCCATGCAATGATAGGGAGCTAATACATTAGCATGCAGGGTTGCCGTGTTTTCAGTTTTAGAGTCACCAAATAAAGTGGCAGCCCTGTCAATGTATTTTCTCCCTATCTTTGCATGGAAAGTTTGTCTTGATGTAGAGGTGGACTTTTCGGATAGCGTGGGATATCCCTTCCATTTTGGCCTCAACTTGAGAGCTTTTTCTGAGCTTGGGACTTGATTTCAGATAGACTCGATTTGATTGAATACTCGAGCCGCCCTATCGTCGCACAGTGGATCGAGTCAATAGGAGAGGTCGCACAAAGTTCGGAAACTTTAAAAGCTCATAACTGCGTTTAGACACAATTTTAAGGACCTGAACATAGCTCCAATGATTTCCTTGTAAAATGGACCACTAGACAAGGTACGAATTTCAGCATTCCGATACATGTATCGTAACTAAAATTTCACGTGAAACACGATGCGCACAACAAAAATGACCGAAATCAACTCCTTACGAAGATATTTTATGATTCTTGATGCGTGAATTCAAACCATCCGCTCATGAAAACTCAATGCTCAACGTGATTCACATCGCGCGCTAAACGTTATCATGACAGTCTCTGCGATATAAAAATCCGGCAACCTCAATCTTGACGCTTTGGCTCAGCTCTAGCAAATTGCTAATAGTTTGAACAACACATGGTGGGAAATGAACATTGCTCGATTGAGAAGCTTGCTGAAACCGTTGTTGTGCGCGATTTGACTCGCGTAGAGCTTTGAGTTTCTTGTGAGCGGGCAGTTCAAATTCCTCGTAACCAATGTGAAATAAAAACGTTAATATCTTTGTTAGGAGTTGGTTTCAGTAATTTTCGTTGTGTGAATCGTGTTCTGCGTGAAATTCTAAATAAGAAACTAGTATTAGATCACTCAAATTCGTACCTTGTCTAGTGGTCCATTATGATTTTTGAGCACCTCTTAAAATTGTAAATGTGACGAAATAAACATCATAATATGCAGTTTTAGTCAAAAATTTTATGTCCGACCTCCCTGATTAACTCGATCCACCGTGCGTCGTGCGACAACGACGTTTGAATGCAACGAGTGACACATTGAATGCGCTGCGACTTTTTCAATGGCTATAGGTCTGCATGCAACTATTCGTGTTCTCACGATGTCCGTGTTGCATACACACACATTTTCAGGCGCTCTGGTTTTCTTAGGTACAACGCTGGTACAAAGTATGGCTACGCTTCTTAATTACCTCCCAAGGATTTTCTACGTTGCATTTACAATCGTGTTGTCTCTAGTTATTACTATGCAATGGAGATGTTGCATGCGTGTGAGGAATTCGCGATTTGACTGTTGATTCTTATGTAAAAGTTTGCGAGAAACAAGATGGTGCCACTGGTTTTCTCTGAAATCAACTCCCAAGCTCAAAAACAGCTCTCAAGTTGAGGCCAAAATGGCCGGGGATATCCCACGCTATCCTGAGAGTCCACCTCTACATTAAGACAAACTCTCCATGCGAAGTTTGTTTGGCGGTTTTTGCACGAGATTCAATTGTAAATGCAACGTAAAAAACCCTCGACAACCAACAACCGCAGCCATACCTACGTTGTGCTGTGCTTCTGCACCTATGAAAACCAGATCGCCTGCAAGGTTCTGTGTATGCAACCGGAACATTCCAAGAGCACGACTAAATGCATTCAGACCTAGCATTTGAGAAAGGCGGAGTGTCTTCAATTCTTCCAGCTTTCCGAATCACGACCTACCGTAAACATCGCTGTTTGCACGGTGAAAAATTCTCTTGGACTTAAAAATTCCCTGACTTTTCGGATTTTCTGAACATTAAAAGCCCCCGACTTTTCCCTGGCTTTTCAGGGTTCTTTGAGAAGGTTTCTGATAAAAATTCTAATCATAATTCACAAACAGTTAAGGGTGCAAAGTATCTTGAGAGTGAAAAAACGAGAATGTTTTGGCAGGAGGAAAAAATTTCCGCAGCAAAACTCATAAATTTTTCCTAACTTTTCAAGGTTGGGCAAAGTTCCTTGATCATAGAAAATCCACAATGCAGACAAGCCAAAATTCGGAAATTCGTGGAAATTGATTGTAAAGAATGAAAATTGATTTCAAAATATAAAAAGGCATCAATGACTTAAAGTACATGATTGTATGGTCCGATAGATGGGCTTAATTTTTTAAAGTGTTTTTTTTTTTTTTTGTCTACAGCAACAATTTACAATTTTGAACTGACAACACTTGAGTAACTTGGGCATTTATCCTGGCATATTACATTGAGGCCTTATCACAAAGGGTAAAATGAAATATGTTACTTTTCGGAACCAGTTGACAACTATCCATGAGGTGGAAATTAGTACAGGGGTAAGATTTGATGGGTTAGAGCCTTCTCTAAGTGGTAACATCCTTGAGAATTCCTGTTCCTAGCATTTAATTTACCCGCAAAACTTAAGGTGGATACTTAACTAAAACTTCAGAAACACCAAATTAGTTCTTACTTTCAAAATAAACAGTAACGTTTCACTCGGTGCATTCTGCAGCGTTTCCACTATTTCTTCATTTTCCAATTAGTTTACTTTTTTCTTACTCTAGAATTTCCAGATCGCTTGATTTTTTCTGATCTTCAAACGACGCTTCTTCTTTAATTATGTTTCTATTTGTGTTCTGTAAATGGAACTGCATTAAGCAAAAAGGAACCAAGCCACATTAGCCATCGCCAAATTTAACTTGGCAATTAATTTCTTACATTAAAACGGTTAAGCGTATTTTTGTGCAGATTTCAGTGAATTTTTTGCACTGTACGAAGCAAATTCTGTAAAATTTTCGAAGGAATCCGCACAAACGTTATCTTGTAAAAATTTAGATTGCCCAGTTGAATTTGGCAATAGCTGATATTTCTTGGTTCCTTGCTGTTGAACACGGTCCAATTACACTGACTTTCGCTTAACTATGAGCGAAAATCTCCACTTCTAGAGACTTAAATCACAGAAAAAGTTATTCAGAAGTTGTCCGCGCTTCCTGTAATGGCAGCACCAGCAGAAATTGCGGAGCCAAAACACTGCCTTATATATCCCTCACCTTTTCAGGTTGTGTAAATTATTTGACTTTCAAGCTTTACCAAAGAGCTAGAAACTCTGCCAGGTCTTCTCTACGTATGAAAAAGTTCGCTGACCTCAGGGTTGCAGAAACGTCTGTACCACAAAAGCGGCGCCGTCTCAGTCCGTTCTCAGGAAATGGGAGAGCCCTGAGACAAGGAGGAGGTTTTTTCTTTGAAACAAAACATTCAAGCGTGCTATTTTCAGGGAGCAGAACTGTCGACCGCGTTATTTCATGCGTTCGGCAAAATTCTGCGAAAACTTGAAATGAGAAAACCTACATCTACTTTGGGGGAACTTTTAAAAGTTTCTGCACCCCTGCTTGACCTCTGACAAAATTCGAGGTTCATCACTCCTTTGTGATTACCAATCCGAGCCAGGCAGAATAAAATGTAGGAAAGAAACTGAAAACTCACCATCAGTTGGAATAGATTCCGTTGGTGATGAAACTGACATCGCTGGTTTGCATCTGGAAAAACCGAAAGAAAAATATGAATATAACGGATAAAAATCTAGACAAGTATATAAACACATGTCAGAGCACCCTAATTTCTATCATAAATTGAATCTTAATGTGAATATTATTAATTTGGTACAAGATCACTAAAAATTATTGGTACACAAAAAGAAGGAAAAAAAAACTGACTCATGAAGATAACATACAGCCATTTAATTTGCTATTGGCTGGTCACCCGCATCTCTACAACTATTGTTTGTGCCTCCCCAAACCAGAAGGATTTACTTAGGAAGGTTCATGGGTGACAGGTCACTGCATCACTTGGTTGAGGGGGTTAGAACTTTGCTCATTTTTTATACCACTGATGCATTTATCAACATTTTTTTTCGGGGTGTCCTCCCTTGTTTTAACCGCCTCTGGTTCCAATCAAATTCAAACAAAGAAGGTCTACACCTTCTGCCATTGCAAGATTTCTGAGTTCCTTGCAGAGGATTCATTTTATCGGAATCTTTCGGATGGATGGTAGAAACGCACTAGGCCAAAGAATTTAAAAAATCCTTCTCAATTTATGTCTCATTTTTAGCTCAGAAAGTTTCCATCCAAAAATTTCCTGCACCATGCACCGGGGAGGGATCTTGAATGCTTGTACATTTTCTATACCAGAGTATGTATTGTCAACCAGGGTAAACGGAAATGTAGGCTAACCAACTTAAAACTTTTTCGAACACTTTCCACCCGATCGGTATTGCAAATTAGGACAAAAAGGAAAACCTCCTCTGTCAACATCCTGTGGTGTAATGGTTATGCATAGAGTAAATAGGGTCATAGAATAAATGGGAGAGCTGGCGCCATGTCCTGCTCGACGAGTTTCGAGTCCGGTGTGCGCCAAGCTCGGGTCATTTTTTCGATACACGTTCGATCCAAAATTGCGGAGTGGAATATGTGGTAATTCCTACCTTCTTTGTTTACATTAGATGGCTGGGCACTCGTTTATTGCGAACAATCGGTCATGTATCAAATAGTGACCCGGCGTCACACAGGAGTCTTGGAATTCAGGACCTAGAAAATGCTTAAAAGTAGCGCTAGCTTTCCCACTTACATTATGACTCTATGTGGATATGTAGCGTTGGCTTTGTGTCCAAGAAGTACCAGGTTTGATTCCCAGACAGGTGACCTGAGTTTGATGGTCTCAGGGAGTGGTTGCCTGGAGCTCGCACATTTAGATGATTTTTCTAGCATGGTCAAACTGGCAAGCAATATATCGCAATGATTGCGTCAAAAATCTGGGCAGATTCAAACTTTTTGGTCAAAGAAGGGATGATAGCCCCTGCGCATGATCCTAAAGAATCATTTTAAACCAAGAATTTGTCAAAAATCAGCGAAATGAAAGCAGAATCTTGTTTGAAAAAAAACCCTCGCATTCAATACAGTCATCGATTTTTTAATCGAATGCAAAGTTTTTCTCTTAACAGAATTCCGCTTTCACATCTCTGAATTCTTCTAATTTTTTTGTTGAGAATGACTCCGGGCTCATTGACATGGACTGTCATCCTCTTTGGGGCTTAAAATTCAAAATCTGCCATGATTTTTGACATAATAAAGGAGATATATCGCATGTCAATTCAACCACGTCAGAAACTTTGATGAATCACCTCAGCATAGGATCAGCCCTGTAGGCTACTTGAAAATTGGTAAAAAAAAAAAGAGAAAAAAAAATAATTACCTAAACCTGATCCATATCAAATGAAAGGCATGTAAGTAAATGCGCTTTATAGACCTCTCATTAAACCATAGAGTTTGGAATAATAACTAAACATCACCTTGTTGATACACTAGATGGGAACCTGAGGCAGCCTTATGATAGAAACATTGATGGGAAAAAGTCAGAAAATTATAAATGTGGACCAAAATTGAGCAGTAGAGCAGAGTAACTAATTCAGAGCGGTAATTAGATTCATTGACAGATTAATTCTGAATGATAGAGCTTTCGAAAAGTGCAACATAATGCTCAAATCCAGAACAGGATAGTTTACTGGATATTAGTGGTGAATCGACCCTTTCAAGTGACAAGCCATTAGATTGGTCTACCTGAAATATCTAATACATGAGGGGACGTATACGGAATCGCTGAAACTGTACATGAACTGTGATAAACAGATTAAAATGTACAGTGAAGGCAACATCAGATAATAGAAGTGCACTCTCTTACATTACTTTTCGAATGCCTTAAAGTAAAGGCTATTGTCCTCTTACACAATCCTCGGGACCTACTTCCACTAGCTTTCGTCAGAAAATCCACAGCATTTAAAAATGAGAATTCCAGGTTCAGAAGAGAAATCAAATCATTCAGAAAACAGAAAGAATATTATCAAACCATTTCGGTAAAACTCGGAAAATTTGGGTATGAATAAGTCCAAAGAATACAGCTCTGAGCTGTCTCAGACATCATTCATGGTGTGATTAGCTCATTCATTATCTCTCAATCTATGTTCATGTATTCCTCAGGCTATTTAAATGATTCACAGTTCGCCTAATAAACGCCTCTGCCTACAGTGTGTTAGTCATCTAACTGCTAATCGAGTTATTTGGAAGATGTCCACTTCTAAATACCCCCAGACAATCGATTAGGAATAAAATGGATCTAGTAACTCACCGTCATTATTCAATACAAAATGGAAACTCGAATGAACTCACAGGAACGAAAACGACACTTCGACAACCGAACAGAAAACTAAATCAACAACCGTAGCGGAATTTGCACGATTGCACAGGCGTGCTAATTAATCCAGACGCTGGGATGCACGAAAGTTCAATTATGGATTGGGCGAAGTTACAACAATACAACTTGACTTGTTATAAATTCACGGCTCGGCGCGGTGGCAGGCACAGGCAAAAACAGGCGCACGGACCGAACGAGGAACGGCAATATGGAGTCACCGGATAGAGATACGGATACAACGGAAGGGGAGAGAAAGCGGGGTGGGAGGGGACCGTGGTACAACAACAGCATGGCAGCTAACCAAAAAACCATTACCAGATAAGAGGACTTTTTTACCGTCTGACGCGAGATGTAGTGCTTTTATCGACTCGGGGCATGCGCAGCGAGACCAGATTTACGTTAATGCCGCCGGGTTTCTGCTGAGTTGAAGTTTCACGTACAGACTTCGAGTTCAATTCAATGCGATGTATTTCCCCCCTCCCTCCCCGCCCATCTGTATTCCCAGGCCGCCGCATGCCGGCTATAAGATTGCTAGCCAACGCAGTTGCCACGTCGAACGCGATTAAGTCATTTCGGACATGAAAAATCTCCGTTTAAAAAGCTGTAAGCTTCTACAGATGCGTTTAATCATCCTACACCCTTACAGTGCGCCATTATACTCCTGAAACGCCAGTTTTCGAGAGGATTTAGCGCACAGGACTCACGTAAATGAGTTAATGCCCGTCAAATTGGCAACCGCCACAAATACTTCTCTGTCATTAAGCCCCCTCAAAGAAAATACATTATCACGGCCCTATTCATGTTCAAAGAACTAGTGAAACAAGACCTCTTTGCGTGCGCGAATGCACGCCCATTGAGATGGAGGTCAATGTATAAGCATGCTTGTCTAGTGTGTTGAACTACTGCAACTAATACTTGGAAAGCTTTGAGACAAAGAAGGTATGAGTGATAAAAATTCGCTGCGTTTATCAAAGCCATGTTGCAGCAACATTGTGAGGCGGTTAGTTATGTGCCGTGATTACGGCCAGTAAAGGTTGCAATAGCATAAACTTTGATTAAATAAACTTTGTCTGGCCTCAAGAACCTGGAAAAGTTCTAGGAAGGCTAAAGTTGCCCTGTCTCCGTAGAATCCCCTTCAAAAAACGTTTAAGCAATTTCTCATGCTTATAACGCGCTAACATTGCATACCCTAAGAAATGCAGGCATTTCTTAATGCTATGTTTGGATTGCAAGTTGCGACTACTAAATTGAGTATTATTAAAATCCGTTTCAATGGATAGGGTTGAAAAATCTCTTAAGGTCTAGTTACACGATCAAATTGAGCCATCAAACTGAAGCTCTGATTGGTGGAAAAAGACCTGAGGTGAGGATGCGACCAGAAAGGCCCAATTTGATGGCTCAATTTGATCAAGTAACTGGACCTCTAAGCAAAAATTGAGCAACATAATGCATGTCTTGAAACTTTCTCCGAATTTTTCCTAATTCATAGAAAATATATGCTCATTCAAGAATATTAATGTTGCTGGGTTTTCATTCGATGGAAAAAATAGGTAAGTCAGATCATTTATGGTGAAATGAAAGTGAAATTAGGAACACAAAATTAACACTCGCCAGTGATGTTGTCAACATGCTATAATATGTTTGCACACATTAAATTAAATCATAGTGGAGAGAAGGTGTGTTCTAGAAAAAAATCAACGGAATGTAACGAAAATATATGGCTGTAATATAAAGACAAACAAATAAAATATTGGGTCAATACATAGGCATAAACAATATAATTTTTGTACACTTAAACGTTTAATAATAATAATAATAATCACAGATATGAACAGGACAGTGGGAAAAAATACTTACATGAAGGACACACATCTCAGTACTTCCCTTCTCTCTCAATTTCCTATTGTATGTGGGATCAATTTGTGGAAGATCAAGAGATGAGGTAACCACACCTGCTGTCGAAAGTAAGAAGGCCACTCGACTCAGATTTTTCATTTTCCCCCGTTTAGACGCAACTCTTTTTACAAGAGGCACTATCCACAATCATGCTTAAGCTCTTGGTGAACATTTCTAAATATATAATGAAGTCATTCAAAGAGCATATAGAATGAATTTTCTCAGATGTCCATTCAATAAAAAACTTCTGTTGGGGAGAAAATGGAAAATCTAGAAGAAAGGGCATTCTTGCGCACAACAGCAATCATGCATTCATCATGAATATATTTTCATAAAACTAACAAATTTAACTTTAAAGCTCTACATGATTATGCTTAAAATAATAAAATTACACTGGGAATGGACAATTCAATAATAAAGTGATTTCATTACCTAGTCCATTTTTATTGGTCTAATCATGGAGAAAAATTCCAATGACTTTAAAAATTTTAATAAAATTTGATTTTAAAAAAATGAAGTCGCTAAAAAAAACACCGATGATGAGGAACAATGCAAAAAAGAAAAATAGGGTTCTCATCAGTTGGAACGGACAGGAGATTACATGTTACACATTGAATATCTTAAATTAATCACTGTTATGCTTGATACACTTTCGGTAAAAATTTCTAATGATACGATGAACTCATTCAGAAAACACAAATTATGAATGTTCACTGATTTCCTTGTAACATAAAATTCTGTCAAAGAGAAGAGTGAAAAATCCAACGTACCTCAGGACGTTCTGGCATACGAGCGATCATCATTGAGGTCATGATCTTAAAGGTGTTTTCATCTTTAGAGCAGGCTAAAATTCTTTCAGCTTCTTTTGAAAGATTAATAAAATTTTCTTCCTACAGTAAAGGTAAAAGAAGAGGTCACCTAGTCATTGTCAAATTGTCGTTTGGACATCGCCTTACACGCCTGTTGGCTAAAGCTAATTAAAATACATGTTTTGAATATTAGTTAAACATACTGGAAGATCAATCGTCTGCATTCAGTCCATAACTTAAATGCCAAAGAGAAATTGCATGGATTGCTTAAAGGAATGAGAATGAGGTACCTTCAATATTCAGTACCTCAATTGTGGGAATATTGTAGTTTCTGGCTTTGAGATGAAGGGCAAGGATGAGTTTTCTTCCCTTTTTATTCTAAATCCGAGATAAAACAAAAAATATCAAAAATTAAAAGAGGCTCAGTTTCCTTTGAAAACGGGATATGAAAGCCAATAAATCTAAATGGTGAAATTGGTATAGCGGTATACCAAGGTGTTTCACTAACAATTTGAAGTTAAAATGCCCAAAGGACCCCGCACACCTCTTATGGGAAGCTGTACCACGACCGATTGCCTTCTGACTTATGTTTTTCGATTCTCCTCAAGATGCTGATCAAAAGTTATAATTGCGCCAACTTTCTACGATGCATCGTTTTCGCAAAAAACCTAAGAGAAGATTCAATTATTCGGCGACTATGAATAAAAAAGAACAAAGCATTTGAGGAGGACAGGCCCGATGTAAATAAGGAAAAAACGTAGCGCATGTCCGTCTTCTTATCTATACCTGCCGACTCAGAGGCTATCTCTCTCCCGCACTCGCCCGGTAGACGTTCAGACTTTCCTGTTCTTATGCTCCTCAAGAATCTGATTTGGATGGTCGAGCAAAACGGCGAGCGGAATCCGAGATAAGACTGCCGCTCAGTGCGGGAGTTCCCCTGATTTGTTCACTCAAGTACTGAAATGAGGAATCTTTCTGGCTTTTTATCGCCGAATAATTGAATCTTCTCTTAGGTTTTTTGCAAAAACAGTGCATCGTAGAAAGTTGGCGCAATTATAACTTTTGATCAGCATCTTGAGGAGAATCGAAAAACATAAGTCAGAAGGCAATCGGTCGTGGTGCAGCTTCCCATAAGAGGTGTGTGGGGTCCTTTGTTGAACCTAACTAGAATCATCATAATTCGAGGTTCGTAATTCCAAAAACAAAGTTATTTCGGAAAAGCTATTGGCAGTTTTAACATGCTGAGCTTAGCACTCAAAATTTTGAATTAAAAATAATATTTCTGCCGTTTCTTGGCACAAAAATGAACTAGATTGCTCTCTTGTTATTTTCGGTGATCCTTGAGGGCACTTTCATTGAAAACTCAAATTCGAATTATACGAGCTACCCCTGCAAACTTTTTTCTACCGAAAAATTTGCCTCTGTGCTGAAGGTCCTCCTTCGCTTAACAGTTGTGTTGATGGCCAAAGAGCGAAACCATTTATCTCCAATGGGGTGTTTCCTGTGGCGAGGCGTAATTAATCGATTATCGATATTCCCCCATTTGAAGCTGTGGCAAAGAATTGATTATAAAGGTGTTCCCTGCAAACACCCTGTTTATCAATCCTTTTTCGCAGGTTTAAAGGGCAGAGCAATCGATATATCGCAAAGCACGCACCGCCACCTGGAGTTTCAAAATTTCCGCTCCTGTTTTTTTTTTCTGTTTTATATTCTGAGGAGAAAAAAATTGATGAAAGTTCCAAGAAATTACATTGACTAGTTTTCCGAATGACTAAAGTATGACAGGAAGTCTGCAACGGCGCAAACGGGAATGTCCTTGCACTTTGGCCATCAACATATTTAAATATTGCTAGATGAACTAAATTTCTCGATTTGAAGCTCTAATTGCACCGCTACTCAGCCCGCAATACTTCTATCGTTATGAATCATCAGAGCCGGCAAGATGTGATTGAATTTCTTCCATTGACTTGCCCTTAGTCTCAGGAATCACAAAGTACACAAAAAATATACCGAGAAATGATAGGAAACTAAATGCTCCAAACGTTACATCTGACCCAAATCTGGTGGATAAAATACAGAAGTACTTTGTTACTATGAAGCAACACACCCAATTGAAGAGGCAAACAATCGAACTGGCGGTCCCTTTGATTTGCGGTGAAAATATTTCTGAGATCAGCATGTATGGAATGGGGCCGAAACCGAGGGAAAATGCCACTATGAATCCGCACACACTTAGAATTGGAAAAATCTGGAAACAAAAGAAGTGATTTATTAGAGATAGGTAAGAGAAAATCGATGATAAAACCAGGAAATTGCATTCTGATTGCTAAGTTTCAAATTTCTCATGTTTTGTTTTTTCACATGAGAACCAAACTCCATTACTTATTGTATTCAATTCTTGGAAAAAACATTTTGAAAGTCATCATTATCTCTTCAGAGGGCAGGGCTATATCCTGAATCATTTTGGTCAGAGAAATTCATTGTACGGAAGAATCCTCTAATTTGAAGACTGCAAGAAAAAAGGGTGGTGGATTGAATGAATATCAATGGCTAGAGTCAAAAAATGCGTACTGAAATTACAATGGTGTAAGGCCATGTTCATTTTTTAATTTTTTAAACAGAGCTAATCGGCAGTTTTTGTTGAAAGTTTCAATGAATTTTTCACTTATTCTAAAGAAATCACAGAAAATTGATGAGAAAAGACTCGTAGTCTTCCTTTGAAAAAATGAAACAAGATTGGAGATTTTAAAACCTTGCAATTGGGATATGCATTTTCTGCCTTTAGCCATCATTATGATGCTTTGTAAAAAGTATTAATTTTCATTCGGAAAAAAAACTGTGTGTGCTGCAGGAACAGTTTGAACAAGAGAACCAAATTGTGGCTACACTTTGGAAAATTCACGGAAATAAAGGGTTTTCAGGATTAGAAGCTAAAGCTTTCTGTGACGCTGGCAGTATCCCCTTTCTCCATCTCCAAAACATTATTTTTATCAAAACTGGAAATTAAAAATTATTCTTTCGTAAAGAATTTTCAGCTTGGCACAAAGTCCTTCACGAAATTCCTTTAGGAAGTTGGAAAAATTATTACCTGAACATGTGACATGTCGTAGTTGTGACTCAGAGCATAAAAGTATACGCCCAAGCCGCAAGTGCATCCTGTCATGACAACGCTACTAAAGAGAAGAAGAACCCTTCGGCCCAGTTTATCAATGATAAGTGTTGAGAGGTACGTAAATGCCACACAGACTGAGCCTACAATAATGGATGAGACATTATAGCTGAACGAACTGCCAGCATCCTGTAAAACACAAAAATTGAAATCAGATTTTGACGAAGTATTTGTGTTCAACAAACACACTCACACATGGGCGATTTCTGGCGCAGATTTGCCGATATTTTAAGAAGGGATTGAGTCCCGAAGAAATCCTATGCGGTTGCACATGGGAGCCCAAAAGATCAGTGGCGAGGCGTGGTGATCAATTATCGATATTCCTCCATTTGAAGTTATAGTAAAGAATTGAATATTAAGACATTCGTTACAAACGCCCTGTTTATTGATCGTCATTCATGGGTAAAAATGGCGGATAAATTGATATATCGCAAACATCGCCACTGCAAACGATCATCATGCATGAGATTATGACAAAAAGATTTATATATATGGTACGGTCATGTTCAGAGAATGGCAGAGGACAGGTTGCCGACTGTTCTTAAAGGAAAGTGCAGATGGTGCTAAATAAAAAACAGTGGATGGATGGGATTAGATCAGAAAAGTTAAAGTGTGAGATTCTCGAATGGTTGTGGTTTGACAGGGAACAGTAGTGGTTTGGTATTGTAGAGTGTCAGGAAGCCCTGCAAAGCGATAGACATGTATGTATTTGCAAAACGTATTTAATAACTGCAACATTTTTTAATCATAGAAATTTCAACGATTCCTGAGGGAATTTCTGGAAGAGCCCGACATTTGCAATTTAACAGATGATTTCCAGAATGAATGATTTTCTTCAAAAAGAAAGTACTTAACTACAGAAATTTGAGTGGCAAGAAAACAAACAAAAAAGTATATGTGTGATTGCATATGAGAAAAAGGACCTAAATCATTTTTATTATTAATCAAAAATCAGAAATGATTACTCAAATTGAATGGAAAAATTAGAGTTCGAGATTTCAACCGAAAACCCAGTTCAGTATCTGAAGGAATCAGTAATGAATGGTTTGGTTCATTTTTAAGCCAAAAGAAAACTCAAAGTTGCATTGTGATTCCATAATAATGAGCCTGGAACACAACATATTAAGACTTTAAATTTTCTCTTATAGTAGCATTTTCTGCTGGAAATTAAAATTACCACAGCTTCAGTTTGGTTGGACAGTTTTGGGCGTTATTTGTGTAATTATGTTCATGAAACGGTCTTTTGAGCAGTGATATAAATATTTCAATGAAGGAATTAAATAGCAAGAAAGTGCCTCATACCACATAGATGGTCATATTTCTTTAACAAATCTAAAAATTTTCTATCAAAAAAGTCAATTCGGAGGGGGAAAAATTAACTTACCTTAAAAATAGATGCAGCATAGAAAATAACCGCATTGACACCTGAAAACTGCTGGAAGAACATTACACCTAGACCGATGATGAGGCCTTTGATGGCAGCTGGTGAACGAATTGCGATAGAAAACGGGATTACTTCAGTTTCACTGCTCTGGTTAGAAAGATACAAAGGCAAAGAGTTAGGAAATTGGACTCAAGGCAAAAATTTAAAAAAAAAAAATAATTTAAAGGTTCTTTGAAGTTTGAAAAAAAGTTGAAATTTTGGTAGAATCTGATCAAAAATACCAGGAGAACTCTACTTACATCAACAAAACATGGATTTATAGGCAATTTTAAATGAATCACTAAACAATGATGGTAGAAAAATTAAAATACAATAATTGTGATAAATTCTCAGTTCAATTTTATTGTAGTAGATAAAGTAGATCCTGGGAAAAGCTGCCTTTATTTTGCCCAAAGGACTTTCCTGAAATATGAAAATAAGTGCTTCAGATCAAAATCAGCTTTTTCAATTTTTGTAGTTTACAAAGTCTGGAACTGAGAGAAAGCAAGAGCTGTTTAGACAAATGGCGATTTGTCTGGATGAATTGCAGTTCGTTTAGAGTAGTTCTAACAAAGCCCAATGTAAAAGTAAAATTTGAGCTTTGATCGGTACACTGCTAACTGGTGAGGCAAATCATAAATTTTCAAATATCATGTTAGATACATCCTAGAATATTTCAAACTGTAAGACAATATGTGTATGTCAGAAGAGTTTCATAAAGAATATAACTGTGATGGAAAGATAAATTCCTTATCATTTTAAGGGCTCAGAGACTTTTTCACATGGTTGGTCACGCATCTGCGTTCTTTGTGGTCTTCTGGGGGTAAATAAAAAATACACACCGAATCTACTAGCGCCGACAAATCGACAAGCTCTGTTAGAATGTTGTAATTCGGACCACGCAGAGACTGCAAACTTTGTTTGGCTTCATCTATCCTGCCTAGTTTAAGATGGTAAACAGGGGACTCCGGAATCATACAGATGAACACAAGATAGACTGTTGGCAGGACCATACAGATCAGCGACAAATGAAAAAGAGACAGCTGAAATAAAATAAGACGGAGAGTGATGTTAACTGATCAAAATCAAGCATTACAAACTACAGATTTCATTTCATATTAAGATGAATTTAATCGATTTTCATTGTGAAACAACACTACTTTGGCCTTTCATAAATTACGTAAAGCTCTAGGGGAAAGGGGAGGTCAAGGACAGAGTTACGCCATTTTATTTTCATGTGTGAAAGAATGGTGACCTACGTCACAAAGACGTTTTGATAGGGTAAGAGGGGTTTGAAAAATCCAAAATTTAGCATTACACACTTGATGGATAGCCCCTTAAAGACCTGCTGTTTTATGCAGCTGTGATTAATGTATCACTTAAAAACCATGCAATATTAATTATCCTTCAAATATGTGCACACTCAAAAAGTGCATATTCCTGAAAATACACCATCCAGTACATGGCTACACACAAATTTTGGCGGTTGTTTATCATTCAAATTTGTTTAAATCAGACACTTTCAAAGATCCCAGTGTCTGTCTTTGATAACTTCTGAATTGCTACCAAGCTGTCGATTTTTTTTAATGCCCTGCTAACAAAGATATTGAGGAAAAAATCAGTTACATGGAGCTAATTTAAACTGCATTACATTTTGCAAAAAGAAACCAAGAGCATACCAATGTTGCTGAGGTTGTGCAACTTTTTTCATTTTGCAAATATTAACTAAACATCTGAACAAGTTATGTCTTTACTCCCAATAAATTATTAATTCAAGACGGAAATTGCCTTTGTAAATTTATTTTATTGCATGATTTCAGTAATTTTGTTGCAAGGAATGTACCTATGTTGCACAATCGCACAACAATGGAATGCTCTTGGTTCCTTTTTGAAAAATGCAATCAAACTTGCATGATCATTGGAAACAGTTAAAAGGGCTCTTTCAGGCATATTCTATGAACTGTAGAGATAAAGTACGAATAGATTCAACTTACAAAACTTCCAAGTATATAGAGGAACAGGATTCCAGAGACAACTTGCAATTGAAAGATGGTTCCTAGTGTTCCACGAACTTCTTTCTGACATATTTCTGCAGTGTACATTGGACATATAATGGTAAAGCTACCGCAAGTTGTGCCCAAAATAAAGCGTCCAAGACATATCATTAAGACCTGAATCAATGGATTAAATCTGAATTAATCACTATTTGGCCGATTCGGATTTCCCTTCACACTTATCTTAAAGTGAACAGTAAAAGAGATAGTTACTTCTTCTTGATTTGTCTTGATTAGGAAACGAGACGTTCTTGTAAAGAGGAGTGCTTCGTTTCCGCAACTTAGAAATTATGACTGAAGTGAACAATAACGCGTCTTAATTTGTTAGAAAATTTCAGATATTGTAACAAAACTTCCATCACATTTAATTTTACTGACTAGAATTGAATTAACCCTCTACGACATGAATTAATTTTGGATCTAAGGTTCTGAGAGACACTGATCTATTTTGTAACTTGCATAAAAAGATAGAGTATAAACTTTTTTTTCAAAATTTTTAATTTTTGAGAATCAGTTAGGTATTAAAAGAAAAGAGAAAAACTAATGAAATTTTGCAAAATCATGCCACAGAGGAAAGGTTTACTTTTTAAAAACCCAAAACAATTGTTACAAATTTGTAACACTATGCCATAGAGGGTTAACTTCATTGCTTGAAATTTTTGTGGAATATTTTCAAACATAGAGAAAAAATGATGAGTATTTTCTAGCTTTCTTCTTAAAAAATAAAATGCGATGAGCAGTCTGCAATGTTGCAAACCAAGATTCGTGTTATCTCAATTAAATCGTACGGTTTGATTGAAAACATGTCATCTCCTTTTTTCTGAAACTATCCTCTACCCTTGCAGATCAGATTCCTGGCCTTTTTCTGAGATAAAAGTGCTTCAAGGCTCTGAATGCATCTTTTTCTGTAGAAATTAGATACCACAAATAATAGCTGCTGAAAAGAAGACAGTCAAAAATTCCGGCCATTTTAGATGGCATGTTTTCCAACAATACAATTCAATTTTATCATTATTATGGGCTTTGCCTTTGAACTAACTACCTACCACAGTCAAAAGTAAAAACCTTTGAAAATGTGTCATTTTCATCAAAGATGATAGGAGCAGAAACTTAACGGTTGTAGCAAACTCAATCAGTCAAAGATCTAAGAAATTAAAATTATTCAAAGATCAAGGTACAAAGTTTGAATAATAAGAGCCTGATATTCTTTCTAAAATAAAATATTAGTTCAATGAAACCTTACCGAGTCAGCCCAAACAATCAGGCTCCACCCAATCGTACATGGTAGAACAACAACAATCATAGTATTTTTGCGACCCAAAATATCAACAACCAGCGCTGTCAGAATGCAACCAAGAATGGCTCCAATCGGCATGATGCCACCAATCCACGACATGTCATTCTCATCCACTGGAAATCCATCCTCACCATTTTCCAGTTTCACAGCAGCTGGAGAAGACCAAGCTATGATTGTGCCGCATATGAAACCTCCGATTGTGACTGGAAAAATAAGAATTTGTAAGGTAAGAAGCGATGCCCAAATGCAGCAATCGCGATAAATAGCGATTTTATCAGTTGGTTATCGCAAATAAATCGGTGGCAATATATCAAGATATTATCGCATTAAAAATTGCGATATATGGCCATTAAATTGCTGTACATCGCAATTTTTAGTTCAATAAATTCGTGATCAATTTTCGTCGATAAAATCGAGATTAAATTGCCATTTATCTTGATTTTTATTTTGAAAATATCAAGATAAATTGTTGGGCGATAAAAGCGCGATAAGATTGAGGATAATCGCTAAGATGTTGATGATCCTTGCCATTTTATCGCCGATAAAATTGCAATATATAGCGATTTTTCCGTTGAGAAATGCTACTTGGGTGGTGCAAATTTTAGGTCATTTGGTTTCATATATTCAACCTATCGTCTGCTGGTCTAGTATAATGGCATGCAATGGATAGATAAATTGAGGCACTGAGTTCAGTGGAAAAAAGCTGATCAATAACAAGGTGAGCTCTCTCCCCCCTTAATCTTGCACTAAAAATCACTGGAATTCATTTTTGGGCTCTAATGATAATTTTCGGAATGTTTTTGCCTTGATGATCCACCAGAATAGTGTAAGCCCAACGCTGTTCTACCATTCTGTGACTAGCAGTATTTAGGCTACATTTTCTGTGTTGTTTTCTAGTGATGGTTCAGTTAGTAATACATAGTAATTTCAGTGTCGACTATCACTGGACTACTCATCTTACTCACCGATAATTGTTGCAAGATACTGTGGTAATACTTTTGCTACCCCAGGTTCAAAAGTCAAAATTGATGGACGCCGTGTTGGGATTAAATTTTCCAAGTCACCTGCGATTGGCTGAAATAAAAAATACCGATGAAAATAAGAAAGAGAACATTCAGACCCAAAACTTTCTACAACCAATTGATGATGGATCTGTGCTTAGAGGAGGAGAAGAAATCAATTGGTGAATTCAACTTGGTTGGCGACACTGATTCTTATAGCGAAATTCAGCATGTTGACGTCCAAAATGCAAAACCACATACCTCCACTTACAATGTTGTAAACTTCTTGTCATACTTTATTTTTTCTCTGGAAGGCTAATCTACGTACTTTCTTGAGAACTTCCTTGGTTCTTTCTCTCCGATAGCAGAATAATCTGCATACGTTTCTACCTAGGGTAGGCTTGTTTTTCTTCACAAAAATAAAATGAAGGGTTTGGAGAACAAGGCGCATGAGTGCAGTTTTTGCTATTCTGAGAAATTCGTGATTGAAGTTTCAAAATTATGGGGATCCTAACAGTGGAAAGAAAGTTAAAAAAAAGTCCATTGAAGGGTGTGGAAGACAAAGGAAAAAGCTGACTTCTAAACTTGTGTGAAAAATGAAAGTTTTAACACAGTGAGATATACATATGAATCTATTTTTGTGTGAGAAAAATAGCTCAATTCATCAGAAAACCAAAGGGTACAAAAGAGAAACTTACAAAAGAATCCATGGTTGCGAGGACTTAGGTGCTTGGATGGTGCGGACTAGGATTTCTTCTGAAATTATGTAATTGTAGTCACAGAATAGGCATGAGTGTAAGAAAAAATGACAGTGATAGAAGATTAACTTAGGAGCGCCAATTTAATGATAAAGAGGAGAAAACAATAAAACTTTCTGGGTAAGTAGGCGAAGACCTACTTAGGAACAGGCGACAACAAACACTTTCAGATAGTTGACTTTTTGAAACACTAAGGACAAAATTACATTCTAGAAAACTTCCGTGCCCGACGTCATCCTATGACAGGTAGGAAAAAAAATCATCCTCGTTGAAAATTATGAAACAAAGCGAATTTGAAGCGATTAAACGATAAACTTATCAAATTTTTTTATTGGATTTCATCAATGTTTCACAGGTTAAGCCCTGATAAGACCAAACAAAAACAAAACATTCGACTACGTCATAGACGACGTAGCCACCCTTATCAAAACATCACTACGGATCATTAGAATCGATGAGAGATTGATGCAGGGTCTAGCAGGGAACACTAGGGGATTTAGAAGTTCATGCGAATTATAGAGCATTGAGAGTGTGGACGTAAATTTTTTTCGTAATTATTGCGGCACAAATATTGAAAAACCACGATTTTTTATTTGAATCCAAGGCATTCTGTGAGCGTTTGAAGACAAGTTCAAAAGCAGTAAAACTTCACGCTGCTTATGAGAATAACTTGCTTGAAATGATAACACACAGCGCTGCCAAGCTGTTCCATTAAAAAACTTTGTAAAAATTAGCTTTATTTCTCTTTTATACTGATATATTTTTTCATAATATTGAGTTTAAAAAATTATTTGCCAAGATGCAATTACTCCACTCCTTCAACCTCTTGAAAAATAGGCATGAAAGAAGAGGGCAAAATAGGAGATTGGAAATCCGACACACCAGCAAAGCAAATACGTCAGATCTGCGAGGGGACTTGACACCAGCAGAGCGCCCCGTTGTTTTCATCAGTAGGTCTTGGACCAGATGTTCTCGTGGAGGTGATATCCGCGTTCCTTCCAACGCGATCATTATTTTGTAATATTATTCTTGTAATTCTTACCACATCGCTACCCCAATTCGTTTCGTGTGTGTATAGTTTGTTTATTTTTGTAGTGCCGTAATCTATAATGGTTCTGAATGGCGAAGTTTTCTAGTGTGTTTGTGTTTTTTTCGTGCCTCATCAGTTTCTGTGCTGATAATTGTGTTGCTTCTAAACTTGGTGAGTAGCTGCTGCGGCTCCACTCTCTTATTTTTAGCAATGTTGCATGCATCTCTCACTAAAACTGCAATCACCCCTCAAAACCGTACGAAGCAGATCGATGTTATGGCATCCCTTTAATGTATCCGGATCAGTGCGTTACCTGTACCTACATTTCTTGTAGGTGCACTCGGATCAGCTGAGGTTTCATTTCTACCTGTACCTCTGTAGCAGGTGTATGGACAATACTTTCACCCACTGAATTTTTCCCTCTAAACCATGCAAGATGCTCTGTTGCCTCTCGCTGCATAGCAGAGCTGTGTAACATAACATCCCTGGGCATTGTTTTTGTATTGGTGATCGTTTATCCATGTAGTCAATGTAACGCAACCTATAGATAATTTCAAGTCAACTCATGCCTTAGGTTGAGTAATGGTTGGATAACTGTTTCATTGAAAATCTCATAAGTAGAATAGCTCCTGTACATAACATTGCTTATTCCTTTTGCATGAATCTGTGTTTAGGTATTTCTTATTTCGGTCTGTATTTTACGCAACCTGTTTCATTGAATTCAGGAATGTCACAAAATCAAATATTCAGCATATGTTACAGTTGCATAATACTAAAAAGTTGGAGGCAACGTCTATATTTTTTTTTTCTCCTTCTAAGTAATTCAAGTAGCTCTCAAGGGCTGATCCCATCTTTCCTATCCGGCTGAAGCGTATGTCTCTAAAACACTTACACACGCGTATGTCTCGTTACTTAATATCAAATGTCATTATTAGCTTATTCTAAAGATGACAAAAAAAACGCTGTTGTATTATGCACATCATTGCGATGATTTTGCACACACTGGGTTCATTTTATTATAGGTATAGAGAACTTTGTGTAGGATGTCATCTTACCTGTGAATCTCAATCCACAGTTTTAAGGCTTCCCTGTTAGAACTTAAAAAGTTTCTAATCCAGGGAAAGGTCACCATTCCTAGGTCAGTATAGGTAAAAGTAGAGATGGATCAAGAGAAAAAAGATATTTTGACCAAGGAATTAAGTTTAGTAAAGTTTACTGATAATGAATGGTAAGGAATGAGGGCAAAAATTAGTAGGTAAGGAAATAAAATTCAATATCTTAATGATCTAGTCCATGAGCATGTTTAAAATTTTAGTTCTCTGTTTGATTTCCCAAGAACTGGTTTCAAGCTAAAGAAGTCTAGTATAAGTAAACTTTGGATGAACGATTGATGTTGCTTCATTCAATTTTCACTTGTCAGACGGCTACTGAAATCAACATAAAGAAAAACCATTAAAAAAAAAGGAAAAAAACTTGAAATGAAAATGCCCTCCCTGACTCATTGACTGCTAAAAATTAAGTCTGCATATTTTGACGAAATATTTGCCCTCTTCTACATTGTCATGCTCAAAATCTATGCTGTGAAAGTCATTGCTCTGAAAGTTCAAGCAGGAAAAGTTTATCTTGGATTGATACTGCTGGCGAACTACATGCAGTGATACAATCAGTTGCTAGACTTTTTGACCCCAGGTTCTATTGTAAATTCCCTCTCTCCCGTTCCCGTCATTCTTCATTTATTTGATAAGTGTTCTGATAGATACCGTGCAATCCTCCGTCTCCGGGTGGAGGGGGGGGGGTGTTAATTGATAACCAATGCGCGTTGACAGTACAATGCAAGACCTAGAATAATAAATGAGGAAATCACAAGATGTAGGTACACGGTCTCTGTTTTTTTTTTCTTCTTCCTCTTCTTCTTTCTTCTTGTAAAAGGTAAAGGAAAGAAGGCTACGAAAAAAGCGATCAGCAGTATAAACCGAGATAATGAGGATGAAAAAAACAGCTGGGGCGTTTTGACAGAAAATTTGGTTTTCACACCCAACTATGATTTATGATACCTAAGTACTACGTCAAGAAGTCAAAAATAAACAGTGAAAATTAAGTAGGTAATATGACAGACCGACGCCAAACACGTATACGCACTTTTAGACGGCGGCAGACGATTCGCCATCTTGTTTCTTGAATTTACTTTACTTGTAATAGCGACGTCAAACGATCTTCTGGTAGCAATCTGGAAGTACGTAAACTTATTTGACGAGGACTCTTACCACCTAGTGGAAGTCCTCCAAAATGTCATTGATTTCGGTTTTGAAAAGCAATTATTCATACTCCATGGATGCGCGTGTTGCCTTAGAAAAACTTGAAGGCGTCCTAGCTTCTCTTGGCTGCATCGAGAAGCACATGGAATCACAGGCGCCAAGCCGCTGCGTAATAACCGCAACAGAGGCAAGAATACCCAATCACGGACCTTCACTGCGGTTGCTGAAAATTTTCACTCGCGACTCATTCTCTCCAGTACTACTCGAGTTTTTCGAGCGAATTATTTAGAGAATATTGTCGGGAAAACAAAGGAAAACAAACGATATGTTGAGCAAAAACGATAATTAGTTTCCGGAAAGCGAGATGTAACAGAAAGTGGAGAAAATCCATCACAGCGCCTGGATGCAACTAAACGTGCTCCGTGGACGCGCGTGTTGCGTAAAAAAACTTGAAGGCGCTTCGACTTTTCTTGGCCGCACTGAATAATGCGCTGCGCGCAGCGAGTCAATCAATGGTACACGTCCGACTTAGGCGATTTCGGCTGATCCCATGTCTGGCGGCTGAAAAGTGAATCTTAAGGGTTATTTTTTAAGAATCTGGCACTAGCTAGGGCCAAATTATTTCTATTTACGCGCCACATCCCACCTAACATGAACGAATGAAACATTACGTGAATTCCTTATTATTTCAGCTCAGTTATTACATGATAAAGCAGGGTGTCTACCGTCATTAATAATCGGAAAATATCAGGAAAATCGGTAATGGTTCAGGAAATTCTGAGTGCCTTGAGCAATTTTCGTGCATTTTCCGACTGTTGATTCATTCTATCAAATATCTTGGTTTTTTAAACCGAATGAGTGTCAATTTGGTGCATAAAATCAGGAATGCTCGTCTAAATTATCAGGAAACGTCAAGAAAATCCAAGATTAAATTTTAGTGGACACCATGTCCTAAATCCATAAAAAGTGCTCAATAGCTTTAACTTTAGTTTGTCACAACCTCCACGAATGTGAATTTAAACGGTTGATCGTTAATAAACCGAGTCCGGAAACAATTTTTCGCGTTTTTGCGCGTTTTAAATATTATTTTTTAAGGCTATGACGCCCGCCAGTGCTGTATAATTATAACAGAGGCCAACATTTCAAACTACGGACCTCTAATCTGCCGCACTAAGGAAGAACGCCGTATGAACATTCAGGCGTTGCCAAATTTCCCTCGTAATAATCGAATTTCCTGGTAAACTTATGAATATTTTTCTTCCTGTTAATCAGATAATTTTGCTCGCAATTCCACTGAAAAGTCCTGAAAATTTCAAGGTAAAATATTCATAACTTTCATAAAAATGAACAATTTATCGAGGGAAATTTGGCAACTCTCGAATGTTCGTACGGCGTTTTTCCCGTAATACGGTCTTTGAAAATTTTAAAAGGAACTGTGTACATTAGATTTTCGTCACTCTTAGTTCTTTTGATTGCGTTCATGTTCATTCGTACTAAGTTTCTTTTTGCGTATACACATCCACTTATGCAACGAGAGAGTGTGGGCTGCACGCCACGCCGCAGTAGGGAAACTGAAACCGTAGTCGTAGTGGCCCACCGCAAACCTTGAATGAAAGAGGAGAGGAGAGCCCGCCTTGGATTCTGCACCATCCTGCTTGTCGTCAAAAAGACCGATAAATTGAGACTTAAGTATCGAAAAAAATGTCGACTAAGGAGAATTCTTTAGGTACACTACGCTTTAACTTCACCTGGGGATGTATCTTGCAGTTTGCAAATAAACGGTGCTCTTGCATGTGTCGTCGTTTTCCGAACGAAGGAAGGTATTTCCATCCGAAGGTTGCAAAATTGACACAATTCAATTTTTTACAAGAATGTACCTGCAAAATTTTTTTGGAAAATTTGCCCGATTCTCACAATCATGAGAGAGAAGGAAAAGCAGTAAAATTTCCAGTCGTATATTGCCGAAGATTCACCTGGTAAAAATGGACCGCGTTTAACAGAAAGGAACCAAGCCACATCAGCTATTGCCAAATTTAACTGGACAATTTAATTTTACACGAGAGAACGTTTGTGCGGATTCCTTTAAAAATTTTAAGGAATTTGCTTTGTATCACGGAAAATATTCAACTGAAATTTACACAAAAATCCGCACGACCATTTTCATGTATCAAAATAAATTGCCCAGCTAAATTTGGCAATAGCTGATGTGGCTTGGTTCCTTTCTGTTTAACGCAGTCCAAATGTAATTTAGGGAGGAAAATTGGACAATATTGAAATGAAGGTACGTTATTTCGTGATTATTTCGTTGCTTCGCATTCATATCATCGGGGGTTTTGAGCGTTGTAAGACTCCGGCGCAGAATTTCACTCCGAAATTCTGGTAATGCACATTAAGCGTCGATATTTTGTCTCTGTTGGTTTACTTTACTTGCGGGTCCTTCAATTTTTGCCGCCAAATCCAAAACCACGCCGACCTACGCTGCCGTACGACCATTTGACTTTTGCCAAATTTCTCATGTCAAACAGCTTATTTTGGAAGAAAGTTCTGACTTTTTTTTAAATTTTTAGATAGTTCAGATTAAATTGAGGACAAAATTGTCTGAAAAAGCGGAAGAACAATATTTACAACTTTCCCAATAAATTCACATTTCGTCGCCTTCCGGTCAAAGTATCCCAAGCGCCATGCATGCGACGTTTCAAAATTTCCGCCGCCATTTTATTTTCGACAGTGATACTGGTTGAATCTGTTTGAAAATTTCACTAAATTTTATCGGCAGCGCGAAGAAAATTCAGTGACATTTTCGGACCGCTTCGTTGAACAATTCCTCTGTATAGAAGTAAAGTGGCCGCGGAATGGAGATGTTGCGTGTGTGAGGGATTTGCGATTTGACAATTCATTCTTATGCACAAGTTCGCG